TCTTTGATATAACCAATATATCTCAGCAAAGGTAACACTGGATCCAGAAGCCAGTCCCTTCCTTGGGCATTCAGGACATGGGTAACTATGACCAAGTGCACTCACCAATGTCCACATTTAATTTACAAACTCAAAGCCACAATTTCTCCGCTAGTCTGTTTTACCAAGCTGCTGCACAACAGTCCTATTCACTCTAAAGAACTCTTGTCATTAAAGGAAATTCTTAAAGCAAAAGCTCAAAAGGAACAAGTTCCGCCACTTTTTAAGCCATTTATTTGGTATTTAGTTTTAAGCAAAAGAAGAAAAAAATCTGCAACCCAACCTAGCTTATCTATTAAGTTATTTTAAAAGCATCTCAAGGCAGGAGGTTTTCGGCCATCTGTTGAAATACTTTGACACCAGGAAGTAGATCCAATGTTTGCACATTCCCAACTCCTCTTTGAAAGCAGCCAGGAGACTACTTTTGTCAACACAGACCTGTGCAACAGTTTCTCCACATCTTTTGGGTCTGGATCTTCTTAGCTATGCATTTCTGAAAGTGCCAACCACAGCTGGGCCAAGACGAGCACTGAAGCTTTCAAAACAGTAGCAACACAGGTTATGTTTGAGATAGCTCAGTTATTTCCAAGGGACCAAACACGAACAGGACATCTTGCTGGCTCAGCCTCTCTCTGTCTTCCCATCCAGGCTGCCAAGGCTTCAGGAGGGAATAAATCGTTAACAGTTTTTAATTGAAAAAGCATATTGTTTGATATGCCCAAGACTTAAAAGTCTGCTGTACCCTGAGATGAACTTTGTGCAGAATATTAGAATTACAGAGGAACACACAAAATTCTGCAAAATCAGGGCTGAGGGGCACAGTGTGGCATAAAATAATCAATCTCTGGAACCATTTCAGATGTGTTTTCTCACCTAACTTGGACAAAGACCAAACACAGACCCTTCCTAAGGAGACTAACTGCTATTTGGAATAGATCTTAACCTTTTCATTAGTTACAGTAAAGAGTGCACTGCCTTCCACTTTCATACCTAAAATATAGTAGTTAGAAGTAACAGTTTAGCACAATTCACTGCACCAGGCAAGTAGTCCCACATTCGTCAAGAGAATTTCTGCTAGAATTAACACTCCCCAAATCCCACACAACCCACCCCACCCCGGTTTAAAGATTTGTCCTTCACTTGCCCTCTTCTACCCCAAACATTTCAGTTATAATACTCAGTTGATCAATGACCAGCTCTGTGACCGGCTTCTCATCAGAAGAGCAATAAATTAACACTAAATAATCAAAAGCAACAGAAAAATAATGGAGAGATTAGGTTTCAAAATGATAATGTTTATTACAACTAAACAAAGGACACAAGCTTCAATTAACTTAAAAATTTTATGCTGCATTATGGCAAACACAGGACCAGTATGCTCAGAGCACAGACAAATGATTTTCAACTTAAATTTGTAACATGGGCTGAAATTCTTAAACTGAAAAGCAAAACCTGGAATACATACAAAGAACAGAATACGGGATTATTCTTTTAATTAAATATACCCCCAAATTTGATATAAACAATTTAAAAGTCTTTAAATATATGCTGAAGTAGCTAAAGTTTAAATGATTAGCAAGGTATGAAGATATAAAGTTACAAGAAGTATTTTGGAGTTGTATAAAAGATGTAAGTTTTTCCCCCAGACAAAGCCTATGTAAGTGTAAGGTACTATCTTGTCAAGAGAATATTCTCTATCTGCATGCAGTCCTGCTGACAAACTACCTATTAAATTAGCTTTCTAGTACTTAACTTGTAGGCACACGTACTCTCACAGCATGCAGTCAGTGATGAAAATCTCAGTAAAAACCATCTCTTGAGCTAATACGAAATGGAAACACGTTTTTCAATAAAATAGGTCCTATAACCTGCTTGTTTTGAAGGGGAAAAAGAAATCACATCCTACTTTACTTCTCTTCCCTGTTGCTAAATGGATTCTTTTTTTTAAAAAAGCTTTTCATATGTTTTACATTTCCTCCCCCGAATAGCTTACAATCAAAATCTATCTTACTTGAATCTGAAACAATCCCAACCAACCGTCTTAGCAATTATCTGACTCTGAGCTTAGAGGCTTTGCCTGTGTAAGTCACAAGGTCACCGAAATCTGGCACATCCTTTAATTATTTAAACAAATATTTACATGTCCTGATTAAATATTCATTCAGGAATAAGTTCTGATCAGTTACTGTACACTTGGAAGTCATCCCTTCTCTGAAAGCACTGCAAGCTTCTTGTTTTTTGGTCAACACAAAAGACAACAAAGCACGTTATCTGAAGCTAGTCCTCAAGCCGCTGATTTGCTGTTGTCTGTATCGCCTGGACAGAGCTGCTTAGGAACGTTCAAAACTGGCTAAGTGTGAATCATTGAGGGCTTCCTAATCTTTTTAAGCTTACATGTGTTGTTCAAGGCCGGCTGTCATGGGTTTACCTACTTTCAACATCAGAAGGCAGGCATTTCCCGCAAAAATGCTTTGCTACGGTTGATGCATACTTCCTTTAAACGCTTTAGGTAACAGGGGAAAACTGACATTTGTGATTGACATTTAAATGTATTTTATGTAACCTGTTAAAATTTCACAATATGCCAAATTTCAAACATGTCCAAAAGCTAAAAATGTTCAATAAATGTATCACAATTATTTTAATCAGGACATTCTTCATTAAAAAAAAAAAAATCAGCTGTTTTAGGCTCCCTTCTTATTTAATCCACAGAAAATTTAAGTCAAAAGTAAATACAGAAAAAGAACAGTAAAAAAGTGTCTCCAACTCCCAAATACTACAATCAGATAATTTACTGTAAGGACAGTTAAAGCTCTGTAAAACTTTAATCAATAAATCTTTGAAAATAGCTTTTTCTGCTACTTCCCTGTTTTAACCTTGCACGCACTCAAGTGCATACAATTCTTAGGTTTTTGATATTCCATTAAAGGTAGCACACAATTTTAAAGTATCTTTATCATGTTTCAGGAATGTCAAGTAAGATTGTTACACATCATTTTCAAATTGAAGATATGCAACTGCAGAATTTAGCGTACTTCTAAGTCCATTAATTCTAATTGTAAATTATACAATGTAAAACTAGTTTTTAAATTGTATTTTTGTGAAATTAGTTTTACTCTTGCATTTTCATCTAAGACAAGTTTTGGCCTAAAAAAAGCACCTAGTGAAGTCCTGTCTTCAAAATCTACAAACTGACTTTCATGCTGAAATCTCCAAGTTAATCTTGATTTACAAGGAAGAGAACAGCCCCCTTGTTTAGGGATACATTAACTACAAAGATCGTACTGATTTGAAATTTCAGCTTTGTCACAGCAATTTTATACTGCAGATACAGTTACAGTAATTCTCAAGAGGATCTTACTATAAAGCAGCTTTCTTTGCAAACTGTACAGAATACGAACTCAATACTTGAACTAAACACTGATCCTTTTTCTAGAATTGTACTGTACATCTTACTGTACAACTTGCTTTGGAAACAACTAAATATACAATGGTCCATCATGCAAGCCATGAGATTGTCAAAACTTTTTTTGTTCCACTAACTTCAAATAAGTTTTTACAAAAAATTTAGCCAATCTAGATAAATACTGAACATGGAGTTATGCTGAAATATGCTCGGGAGTCTTCTAGGAGAATATGCAACTATGACTAAAAGCTCTAAGTACTAACTACCCACCTCAGTGTCACTGTGTACAGCGCCATTGTAAGAAGTGCTCTCTATAGCGTACACAATCAAGAATGCTCATGTATTTTTATAATACTGGGTGCAAAATAAAAATTAAAAAACCAAACCACAACCCTGCTGGTTCAAGTCACGCTATGTGTATTTCATAACAGATTTTAAGGAAGAGTGGGAAATTTAGGCTGCCAGGAATTATGGAACATCCCAGAGATGGTATTTTAGTTTTAAAACTTAAAAAGTTACTATTGAGGACAGACATTAATGAGTGAACCTTGACCTACTGTCAGTATTTAATCACATAGCTAAAGACAGTAACTATAAGCAATTAATTAAAAAGCTAAAGATGTAATCAAAGCACTGGCAATACCAGACATGACTCGTTGACTGCACAGTAAGCAAGGCCATGAGATGAAAGTATTTATGTACTTTGACTATAGCTGGTTAGTGATTTTATACCTGAGATGAAAATTGAGAGGTAAGAGAACTAGTTATGGTGTAATTATCAGATTAAAAACAACAAACATATGATGATAACTGCATTTAACAAAAAAAAAAATACAAAAAGATCACAACTGACATTTTCCCCTTATGATTACTTTTCATTTTGCTATTTAGACAAACACTTTAACTCACTTTACTGTGCGACAGATTGTGTTCTGAAACTATTTTAAAGGCTCCTGTGATTCCAATGCTTTAGCAATTCATGGAATTTGGAGTAGAAGCGACGTCCTCTACTCCCTAGTCTTAAGAAATTTAAGGCACCCATAAGAAGCAAACTTCATAGGAAGTTTCCATTCTAGGGGAAAATAAATCTGATTTTCCCTTCAACAGAAGAAAAAATAAATCATGAATTCATAGAAGTGATTAGAATGCCACATTCTCTGTCAGTGAGGCAACAGCATGGTGATACTTAGCTTAAACAAAACTCAATCTAAGGAGCTACTACTGAAGCCGCAGAATCTTCACTAACAGGTTACAAAATATGTAACATTGTGACAGAAGGAAAACTTTGTATTAAACTCTGAAAAAGCTAAAAGGTAGAAGCAGAGCAAGGCTGGGCCCCATGTAAAGATGAAACAAAATACAAGAGAAACATATCTCCATGACAGATGCACTTAATTTATACAGCAAATTTGCAAGTTTAATGGATCACTGTACCACAACGAGTGCAAATACATTATTTTGTGGGCAGGAGCACTGCTAAAGAAGCGTATTTTGTTTTCATCTGTATGGAATGACAGTAAATCACTTTTGATGAACTGAAATTTCATTCCGTATGTCAGAAAACGTATCTATGATTTATTACTAGAATCAGCTCAAAACACTTCCCATAATCACAAAGCTCACGTAATATGTAGCCATTAGACACAGAAAGATATACAAGGTTTTGGTTACAATTGGGATTAACTTCAGATTCTGAAGCTTAATTCTTCACCTCCGCAGCTTCTTTATCATGCTTTTCCTTTGCTTTCTCTTTTTCTTCCAGTTTTTCTTCTTTTTGAAGGAGTGCCATAATCTCAGCAACCTGACTAGTACCAATATCAACATCTTCTTTGTCAATCAATTCTACTACCTACATGAACATAAATGAAATTGAGAGCGCCTTTAGTTTTACAGGATTAAAGCATTTTCAGATCACAAATTTTGTTAAGACAAAACAGTAATCAGGTCTCTCATGTTCAAGGAAAACAGCATTTTTTTCTTACATGAAACAAATTCAAACTACAACCAGCACCTCAAACGTATCCAGAGTATTAAAAAAAAAACAAAACCCTAAAACTTAAAGCAAATGATCTAGAACTTTTGACCTCAGCACACAAAAGACTCACATTTTAAAGCACTAGTAAAACAGACCTGTTTATTTTATCTGTTCCAATGGAAAGCTCAGATTCAGTACCTGCTGAAATAGTTTTTTGGACAATACTTATTTTATAGGCTTAATTTAATCAAAAAGACCTACTGTACTAAAAAGGCACACATTTATAAAAACTTAAAACTAGAGGGGGGTAAGCCTTTCAGAAAGCAACATGAAAAAATAACTTAGCAGGTGATTCCAAATTCCTTTATATAACTTTGTGTACAAATGTATTCCTGGCATAGCTCTGGAAGTTCCTAGAATTATTCTGCATTATATGCAGAATTCAGAAGTAAATTTTACTTGTGATGCTAAATGTGCAATGGTTGTTTAGAGCAACAAGGAAGATAATCATCACTGGGACAACTTCACTAAAGAGGAAAAACGTGTTTCAAAAGGCTGATACTGTATTTTCTAGCCGGTCATACTTTAAGTGCTATTTCTGCATTGAGTAGGAAAATTACTTGCAAGGAAATAAGTTTCAGGACATCTCTAAATTCACCAAGTAAAAAGAAACAAGAAAGTGAAGGAGAAATGCAGGGAAAACTTGAGAATGTCCTGCAAAATGAGAGAACAGGACAAATAATCAGGCAAAGAACACAGGTCATTTACAGTGGACCTAAAGGACAATTGATGGTCTGATGTCTTTCAAGCATAGAAAATACAGGCCTCAATGAAGTATCTAAGTTATATAAGTAGGCAAGGAAAGCTATTATCTTGTGTTGACATAAAGTATATCTATATGCATTATGTCAAGACTTTGGCTAATAGTGGTATTGTTAAAGTAGTTCTTCTAAAGCTCCTTCCCATCCTCCCTCACATTAAGTAGCACAACAAAATTACTGTATTTTACAGAACTTGACATTGGCATACAGCAAAACCTACAGCTTTAAAGGTAACATGGGTAACAGACACAGGATAAAGATTCCTCACCCCCCCATCCCCCAACCCCCAAAATAGTCACATAAATTCTGAAGATGCTACATAAGATCTATTCACAGTACATAGTAAAGTACAAAGTAAAGGTGCTTGCAAAACACAGCAATATGAATTTAAGTCAAAACAGGTACAATGTTTGAAGGATGGCTGGCGTTATTTTCTTTAAGTTGTCTACAGACTTACCTTAACAACATTATCTATATCAATTTTGCCATCCTTGTTTTCATCTAGTGCCTCTGCAATCCTAGTTAGCTTCTCCTCTGGAATCTTCTGAATTTGTTTCATCGCATTAATTAGCTCAGCAATACTGATCAGATTCTCCCTGAAGAGGAAGCACAATCTGTACATGGCAAGCAGTTACTCCAAAGGAGTAAAGTTGACAAAAGGCAGTACTGAAAGTCACTACACTGCAGGTCATTTATAAAAGCAATTATTTATTTATAATCCTGAATAGAATGCAAAAAAGCAAAAATCAGTTACTGATCAGCAAGCAGATTTCAAATGGATCTTCATCTTACCATCAGATCTCATGCTTTTGGTTTCCTCAAGCATTATTGCACAAATACAAGTATCCAGTAGCATTTGAAATAAACTTCAGCACAGTTTCTGTGCTTCCCAGACTATGTATCTAAGGCCCTTTCCCGCCCCCCTCCCTCCCCCATTTACCAAAGATGCAGTGCCATGCACCTGTCATCCTTTCAGATTTCAAGAGGCTGGCCTACACAAAATTAATGAAAGTCACATGAAAACAAAAGCTGAGAATTAATTGCTTTAGCAATTTAGCTGTTTCGTTAAAATAGGCTTCATTTGCTTGCATCGAGGAACAGGTTTTGTAGAAGAAAGGACTAAACTTGACATTGTGACTAGCAAGTGTCAGATGTTTCCACTGTTCGCTTATTGATCTCATGAAGCTAAAGTTGTCTGTCTTCTGCAACATAAAGCCTCTGCTTGTCTATGTAGTTTTGTTAGTTTAAACCACCACCTTCCAGCACAAGTCAAGCTGAAATGCAGGAGACAGTGAACCCAACAAATACTAAACAGAAGGGCTTTATCAGCGTAGTCCCAGCTCCACACCTGGCCCTAACCTCTGGGCACAGACTGACTTTTATTCAAGGAGCATTTCTGAAGCTGCCACTAAATGTCCTGGACTCATGTCATTTCTATGACTCTTAATGGCTTGGTAATGATTGCATCAACCTGAAGGTTAAAAAACAAGCCTTCGACAATTAAGCAATATTTAAACTAATAATTTTCAGTCATCCACAGTCACCTACAAAATTATCCACAAAACTATCCATTATATAAAGGATAATTACATTCAGTACAAGCAGATTCTATATTGTATTTTTAATTTACAAATTCAGATGGTTTTGATCAACAACTTCTCTATAGCACCATTCATATGGCCACCTTAATCCTATTACACACAATTTGAAACAAATGACAGCTTGCCCTGGAGACTGGAAAAAACAAAGTTCAGAAGCAACAAAAGCAGAATCCTTATTTCTGTTTAGGTTATGCTCTATGGGAGCTGGGAAGCTCTCTTAATGAATCACATAAGATGGTGCAAGCATAAACTCGATTAATACAGCATTCATAATCACAAACTATGAGAACTACAGTCACAGTTTTTAGATATTTCAGTGCCTGTAATATGCAACATATGACCATCCAACATACAATTGCCTGAAAGACTCTCCAGTAACATTAAGACCTGGAGAAATGCTCATAAATTAATTTTGCAATGAAACTATGAAGAAATATCTTCCTTTGAAAATCTGCAAGTGTGTTAAAGTCGAAATTAAGCAAATTTTTGGAAAGGGACCATCTAAAATTATCTCCTTACTTCTATTAGACCTGTTCCCCCATTTCTTTCCAGAGACAGAACAGACTTTATTGCAACTCTTTTTCCTCGCTGACATCTTCGCTACTAAAGAACAACAAATATGAATACGCTTATCATACTGTTGTGAACCTTTTCAGGCAATGACACAGGGCAAACCTACTGTGTGAGGAGCATAACTAAAGGCATGATTTCATCTGCATCATTGTTAGTGCTAGAGGCGTGAACAAGATGGTAAGATGCTAATCAACACTTCCGACTTTCAGAATCCCCTCAGGACTAGCATCTGGGGAATTACACCTGCTTTCTTCCCTCCTCATTTTAACCCTAACTAACATACTCCAGAAGAGAGAAAAACTACAGCACAATTTTGTTAATTTTATTTTTAAAATAAATTATCTTAACATTCTAAACAACAACTTATTTGCTAATTCTTTTCTAATCACACATTAGACTAAACCGAGACTGAAGATGGTCAGAGGCACACTCAGTGCCCTCAAGTCACTTACCCAGCAGGAGGACTATCACCACTGTCGAGCTTTACATCCACTGTCTTCTGACTCGTCTCTAATTCATTAATAATTTTGTCTATCTGCCCAATCATTCGGTTCACCCTCTTGGTCAACCGCTTGCTTGCCTTTGACTCTTCCACCGCCTCTTCCTGGCCAGTTTTAGAGAGCTCTTTTATCTCTTGCAAATCCTGAAAGAAATGGTCAAGAGAGAGAAAAGCTTTTGTTGCTGTGAATTCTCAACAACAGACACTACTGTCTTCAACTAGCATTTCAAGACAGGAGCCATTTGTAAATGAAATGTAAATGTATAGACATATAAAGCCAAACGGGAATTAGAACAATAAATTCTAACACTGCTATTTTTTTCATGCACCCCTTAAATGTTATTTTCCACATCTTTTGTAAGATTGGGTAAGATTTGTTTTACTTAACCTGAAGTATCTGTAATACTGACATCTATGCTTGGCAAGAAAGAACTGCAGCATGCAGCAGTTCGTCAGCACCTGTTAGTCTAGTCATCCTGGTAATAACAGCAGAAACAGGATTCTCATCTGGTGGGAGCTACTCCAATGATTTTAACTAGGCTTTAAACATGTTATACAAATGAGGTTGCGCATTGTCCCATACAAAGTTAATTCACTAAGCTACCAACTACAGGCTACCAGACATCCAAACACGATAATCTTTAAATTTGTGGATCATTTATGCTAAAATGAAACATGAACAGAAACAAAAAAAGAACTTCCACGCCCCATTCTTCACCTCATTATACTCCTGGATATCACCCTTCAATTCCTCCAGTTCCTCCTTTTCCTTTGTCAGTGATTTTTTCTGTTCCTGCAGCTTGGTGCAAGCATCACTCAGCATGTCAATCTCCTCCTTAGTGATTTCCTCACCCTGTAACATAAAATATATATATATTGAGCAAAAGACACATTTGCGATTTTCCTCAAAGATTTCAGGTCTTTTATCAGAAGACAGACTCAAGATTCTTTTTCCATGTTCAGAGACAAACTTGTCATAGCCATTTTGTGGCTAACACAGAGATCTGCGTTCTGAGGCTAATGCAAAGATCTTAAATGCTAAGGCAATTAGTTCGCTACCACACATATTTTTTAAGTGCAACAGTAGTAAGTTCAGCTAATGCAATTCATTATGTAGGTTTTGGCTACTTGAAATTCTGACTTCAAGATGATTCATTAGAAATGCTAAAAATCCCATAATACTAGCTACTAGTTAGCATATTAGTCTTACCCATACATGAGCTTTTATTTTGAATGGCTAAACTCTGAACAGCCACATAAGTAGAGTACAGAAAGAAATGTGCAAACAAGGATGCCAGAAACACAGAGCAGAAGGATGATATGCTTCCAAAAAACAACTACACAACAGTTCACAAATTAGGCACCCAGTCCCTTTGTCAACTCAGAGTTGTACAGTGTAAGTGTAAGTACACTTACTCAGTTTAGGCATCAAACTCACTTCTGATTTTAATACACTATCTATAGTTCACCGGGGAGGGGGGGGACACGGACGGACACACAAAAAAACCAAACACAAAACAAAGAGACCCAAACCAAAACAACAACAAAAAAATCCAACCCCAAAAAGCAGCAACTCAGTTTGAAAACAAATTCCTCTGCCTCAAATAAAATCAGCCATCTTCAAGAAGCTGGCAGTCTTACATTTTTCCTCTGAGAGGCAAGAATGTATTCCATGGTGTTTAAAGTATTTGGAAGCATCTTTAGGGGACAGGCCACACTAACCTTGGTTAAGAAATGCCACACTAACTTTACTTCTTGTTTTATCAGTTAGGGCTGTTGAAGTCCTACTTGTGGCCCGGTGTCACACATTCTCACGGCCTTGGTGGCGTGGCAGGGAGCAATATGAATGCTATGCCAGACATGGCAGTGTAAGGTCGCTCTGACATCACACATCCTTGCAGTTTCCAAACGAGATCATCTCATCCTTGCCTGCCTCCCTCCCACAGCATTCCTCATGGCCACACTATCATGCGCCCAGCTACGCAGTCAGCCGAGTCAGCTAACTCATCACACAACAATGCATGATTTCAATGTGGATTAGTTACCATTAAAACCTTCTTGGCAGCTTTCTTAAGTAAACAATGTTACAATAATAGCAGGTAGATAATGATGTTGTCCAGGAAAACTGAAAATATTTTTCTACTTAAAAGATGGATGGGGTCAGGAAAGCCACCTGGAGTTAACTCCTACCTGGAGTTAAATCTGGTGAATGACATGAAGGGCAACAAGAAGGGCTTCTACACGTACATCATGAGCAAAAGGAAGACAAGAGAAAACGTGGGCCTGCTGCTGAATGGGACAAGGCACCTGGTGCAAAAGGGACATTGAAAAGGCAGAGGTAGTCAATGCCTTCCTCAGTCTTTACTGATAAGACTGGCCTTCAGGAATCTCAGGTCTTTGAGACTAAGGGAGAAGTCTGGAGCAAGGAAAGTCTATCCTCAGGGGAGGAGGATCAGGTTAGAGAACATTTAAACAAACTGAACACACACAGGTCCATGGGATACAACCACAAGTGCCAAGGGAGTTGTTTGGTGTCATTGAGAGGCCATTCTCCATGATCTTTGAAAGGACACGGTCATTAAGGAAGATTTCTAAGGACTGGAAGAAAGCAGATGTCACTCCTATCTTCACTAAAAGCAAGGAGGAGAATCTGGGGAACTACAGGCCAGCCAGGTAGCAAATGATTAAAACCAGTACGCTCTGACTGTAACAAAGCATGCTGATCCTTGAAACTAACCTGTTACTTTAATGGTGGTATAACTTACTTTCAACATCATATTAAAGAAATAGCGAAAGACTACACTAACAAGTTTTTATAGTGTACATACACTGCTGTATCAGTTTAGAAGAAGAAGCTGATACAAATCTAATACAGTCTAGTCCAAATCTAGTTCCTTACTTAATCCTTAGGTCGTAGCTACTCCCTTCAAAAGAAGGGAACGCTCATCTCTACCTACTCTTGCCCTCTTCCTCCTCATGAGTTAACTATACACAGATTTAACATACTGAAGGACAGCCAGGCAACTTATCAGTGCTCTTACATGGATGTTTTGAATCTTTACATCAAAAAGTACAAAAACATACAGTTATCCAGATTACCTTGATGCCTTCCAATACTGGTGCTGTATCTTTCAGTGTCTCCGAGTGCATCACCACATCTGCCCTTGCCAGTTCTTGTTCAGTAGCCATAGCCACCTGAGTTTTTTTAACGTGCAGAGCAGCTGCTTCAAGATCTACTGCTGACGCCACCTCTTTCTAAATTTGAAAGACCCATGAAGTTTTATTTAAAACAAAGATAGCATCTGTATTAGCATCAGTAAAGAATGACTTCTAAATATAGAAATAGTTGCCAAAGTAGATGCAGACATTTTCATGAGAAGACAACGTTAAAAAACTGTAACATTTTGAGTGGTTTCAGATTAAAATAACCACTTGCACTTAATGAACTATGTCTGTGAGCTCTTGAAGCTTAATTCACCAGTAAAGCAGGCCAGCAGCTTTCATAGTCAAGTATTATACAATGACACTATCAGGTTAATGACAAACAAACAGCCAAAGATAAGAACATTTAAAGTATGAGGTGGAGGAAATCAAAACACAAAGAAAACCACCACCTTTGCTAGAGAAATAAAAGGCTTCTCTTATTACTCTAATGACCAGGAAAAAGAAATCAAAGATATGTAAGATGAGACAATCTTCTATGTTTCACAGTGAACCCTTCTGTGTTGCAGTCTGTTTTAATACTCTCCCACATCTTCCACCTGTGGATTTAAAGTAAAATTTCTTGCAGACAATACCCAGAGCAGAGGCAATAACTCATAACATGGTAGTTTTTACATCACTGACATTGATTTCCTAATAGTTGAGAGCAAAACTTACTGTGGCTGCAACCTGAATGGTTTCTTTGGCTTTCTCTGCAGCTTCAGACAATCTTTCCATCTCTTTTTCTTCATTTTCTTTTCTGATGGCTTCCTCTTCCTGAAGTGTTGCTTCCAGCCGCGCTTTGTTATCTACTTTTTCACCTTCAACTTCTGCCACTTTGACTTGAGCCTCTTTGGCCTAAAAATAACATAAGAAGTCTATTAAAGTCTATATGCGTGTATATCTATGCATGTCTACATAATGTAAGAAGTTTATATATCCATATTCAGAAAGGTAGTACAGGTATGCTAATGAATATAGCTAAAAACCCCAAAAGTTACCCTGTATTTGCATTTCTCAGAAAAATGTAATTTTCCTTCTTTGAAAACAAGAACTTTCCACCCTGAAATTGTATACGTTCTTCATTCTCTTTCTCTCAAGACTACCATTAACCTACTCGGATCATTTCTCTCTCTACACAACAACATCAACAATTTAATGTATTAATATCTTTATATTACCCGGAGTATAGATTGTTTTTTATACAAGTAAAAAGTGAACTCTTAATCTTCTTATGCTATTACTGTCTACCTGTCATGCAATGAAACGTTGCCTTTTATTTGCTTTATTCTCAGACTACTCCACATATAAGCCAACTTCTTCTGTGTTTGAAGGTCACTTAAACCTATCCATGGTTTAGCTTTTCAAGGAAAAGAAAGGAATCAAGAAGAACATCTATTTCTCTGAATGGATTTTCAGTTATGATACTGAAAGTTGGTTACAGATTATGTACGTCAATACTTACCACACTCTCTGGCAGTGTCTGAAGCGTTGTTTTGAGCTGATCAGCTGGAGAAAGGGTATCTGGAAGATACATGGCTCTGGATAAAATCAGCAACGAAGTAGGGATTTCCTGGTTCAGGTGCAGATCTAACCACTATAAACACAATACATAAAACAAATCTTCAACTTCTGGATTTTTTCTTCTTTTTTACAGATCAAGTCAAGCATATGCAAAAAGGTAAATACTACTTTTTTTTTTTTACCACTATTTATCGGTCAATATCCTAGCACAGGAACTACAGGCTATAAGCAGCTAAGAATTACAGCAATCACACTGAAATATATGAAGTAGTATTTTGTCTAAAGAAGTATTTCAAGAAGTATTGAACAAATATTTGAAAAAGTGTTTTGTTTCACATACATCTTCCTCTAAATCAGGCAACATCAAACGACAGAGAACTCATCTTCTTGGAGAAAAGTTCTTTACAGAGTACTACAAATAATTAAAAAGACAAACTGCCAAAATTGCAAATCTATTTTGGATATGTTTAAGTATCTATTTGAATCATCAAAACATCATGCCCAGTCAAAAGCCAGAAACCCACTGCTACTACACATTTACACAGTACACACAACAAAAGCTTATTAAGGAGTTTTAGCCAAGACTTTAATGAGAACAGAAACAAAAGGACTTCTCTGAATCGTAACAAAAATCAGAGCTAGCAACTGAAGTTAGGTCTGTGTATTCAGTCTTGCAAAAACATACCTGTTTAAGCTGTTCCTTGAGACGCTCCTCTGTCACACCAAGAGCTCTCATACCTCGGGCACGACAAGCTGCCTGCAGTTCTTTAACAGTCAGGCTATCAACTCCTTCTTCAGCAATCAGCTGCGCAAACCGTAAAACAAAAACTTTAACATGTAACACCTCAAAACTGAAGAATCACCATGAATGCACACCCAGAAGTCCGTAGTTTTACAACGGCCACTAGAGGCTGCTGTGGTAACACGAAATCGCCTCCACTTTTTAAACACTGAACATTATACTGAAGTCTTAACAGCTCCGTAACGGTAATGTCAATCTCTGAGTTAATATTTCTGTCAGCTCCCTTACAAATTATAGTTTCATGCTTTTCTCTGTAACATGATTACTTTCATTGCAATTAACGGTAGATTAAAAAAAGGTCAACTTTTTCTTTAGAAATAAGGACAGTTCTGATTTTAAACTCTTCAAGTCTTTTTGTTCCAAGTTAGCTCCAAAATAAGACAACTAAGACAAAAAAGGAAAATGCCTAGAAAGACATACATGTATCCACACACACTCATTACTCTTACATGTCAAAATTATTAATCAGTGCCTATTTAAAATTACTCACTTTGTCATCTGCTTTTATGCTTCTCAACCTCATAGTCAGCTGGAAGCGGAGAAAGTTATTTGTCCCAATTGACTGAAGTTCCAACAATTTACAAAGTGCCACCAACTGAGGCCTGGTTAGATTGTCCAGAGTCAACTCATCTTCAAACAGTTTAGAGAACCTTAAGATCTCCTCATTACTGGGTCTTTCGCCAGTTTCCCTGATCTGTAAGAAAAAACAAACACACACAAAGCTTTTCAAAGCAAATGTTACGGTTGGGCATTATTTTGAACAGTAAAAATATTCTCCTCATTTGTCAAGTACTTTGCATCAATTCTGAGACAGGAAACAGGACACAAGAAAGATATGAAAGAAGCTAAAAAAAACCCTACAAACAACTTATTTACTATAAAAGGCAAAAGAATTGATAGTGTTGATAGTTTCCAACAACATTGCATAATATACTTAACATAAAACTAACAAACCAAAAATTCAGATGCATCTCTATACTAATAAGCAGGTCTACCCAGGTTGGCACTGCCATGAGATACTAAAAATATAAAATGAAAAAAATCTAAGCGAATAAATAGTTGCTACAGAAGTCACACTGGCAAGTATTTTTTCTGGTACCACTCAACATAAAAGCACATTAAAAGCATCACCCTGTGAAGATAAAGTGAGAAGTATGTGCAATAGCAAATACCATGTTGGTGTCCCTATGAAACACAGATTTGGACACTTTACCTACCTACGATCTCTCCACAACCACCTTTGTTACAATACTGTTTTGCTTCCAGTTCCTAGCTGTCCTGAGGCACCTCAATGCAAATGCACTTGTACTTGAAGTTATTCCAAAGCATAAACCACGATTTAGGAAAGGACTCTGCATCCTTCTTGATGGAAGGTTCTATGTAATTGCTTGTACAAATGCAATGTTAAGCTTTTAAGCTATGTGTCACCAAATGGCACTTCACAGTAAATCCAAATACCCGAAGCAGAAATAACAGTTCAAAGAAGTAGGAAGAAAAAAAAATAAATTCATTCTCTAGTCTCATCAGGTCATAGTAAAACATTATCACCTGTATAAATGTTGATTGTTCTATTTTAAGTATACCATCAAGTGTTTATTAGTGATATTACCAAATCCAAAGTCTACAAAATTTAACAATGAAGTACTCCCGGTCACTTAACACCTTCAGTCTAAACAGTAAGTACATAGATATCCAAAAAACACTTTTCCCAATCCCTCTACCTTTTTTTAAGCCCTGTAAAAAAAACATAGGCTAAGTGACATCAAGTACAGTCTGAAAACTTAACACTACCTATACAGCCTGATTTATTATGCCTACCTGTTTTACTGGCCAACTCAAATCTTCTAGAGAACAGCTACTGAGTACAGGAAAAGATAAAAATTTGGAAGACAACATGGTCTTGAGTGCATTAACCTCCAGGACACTTGCGTAGCAGAGAAACCAATCAAAGAAAGAAAGGTCAAAGGCCTTCTTGTTCTACTTCACCAGCTCCTTCACTACAGGAGCCAAAAATGGAACTTTAAAAAATACAGAAAGTATTTTCTTCCTTGTTTAAAGCTGAATTTTGGCAGATCCAAACATATGTTTCTTGAGAGTACTAACTCAAACTTTCTAGCACATCAGTAGCTACAAAGCAACACATAAATTCTGAAATTCGGCAGCCAACATGTTAAGCCTGTAATCAATGGTTCTTGCAGCATCAAATACTTCACTGCAGAAGCAGCTATAAAAGAACAGCAAAAAGGTGGGAAACATTTAAGCTGCTTCTTGCTCCAACATTTATTATCTAGTACAGTGAAATGAGATCAATAAGGTTCATCTCCATGTCACAAATGAGAAATATATAGCTGTAAAAAGCACACCCACACATAAGAAACGCAGGGCTTGAAATTGCTTTTTAGTCATCAGAGGAACTTGGGACTTCCTCCAGCAAGTGTGGAGTAATACGTCATTTATTTCCACAGAAATTAAGTGCCAAATGTAAATTCTCTGTAGCAGTTCTTTCAGAAGAAAATGAAATGTTCCAAACATGAAGCATGGCAGTAGCACTCTCCCACAGTCTGCAGCATCAGTGCTTCAGCTACTAACTGCTGTAACTAACCATTTAAAATTTTCTGCAGATGAAAAAGAACAGAAACAGATGATTGCATAGAAGCTTCAAAGTACATGGACTTTGCAAGCAGATACCAACTGGCAAAACTTGCCAATATCATTATGTGAGGTAACCTACGTGGCTCTATAAACATGATCTTATTACTCCACCCTTTAAAATTTTATTCTCGGCACTGACAAGCAGGAAAAGCTCAAGCTAGCTGACAGGATTTGTAAAGTTCAGGTCTGAAATCCCCAAGCTTATGTGCCTTTTTCTGTGCAAACACATACTCACCCCAAAGGGAGGGACTACACTCTTACTTTCAACAAAGCACCTGGTGATGGCTGTTGGCTTGATCTCTTACTCAACAGCCACACATTTTAAAGAAGTCAGAAGGGTGAGCAGACTGAGTTAAATCCTATTCTGTGAAGATTTAGGAAGGTATTTTTCATCTCTCCAGGGAATACCTTACCCTTACCCACAACTTCGTGAAAGAAAACACTGTCAAACCTAAAGGCCATCAACATCACAGACAGATACCTGACATTTAGTCTCTGTGTCTCTGCCTGTGAATAGCAAAATTTTGCACCAAACACAGCACTCACATTCTAGCAAAACCCCAGATTATGCCACATTCTAGTCAGTATCCAAAAGGATTTCAGCAGTATAGCATCTGTGCATTTAAAAATTGTTTTTATAAGTAGAATTAAATTTGACACACACACACAAAAATATCTTTTTTTCCCCCACTAAGTTTTAACCAGTTAATTAGGAAAGAACTTCTTTCTCCCACTTTTGACACCCAATGCTCAAACAAGAGGTCAAAAACTACCTGAGTAATCACTCAGCACATAATTTTTTTATGTTAGAATTAACTTATTAACAAAATAAGAGAACAAGAAATGAATGAGCAGAAACACACTGCTTCTAGAATCAGAAAGTACCAGCTAGAATATCAAAGCCAAGAACAGTAAAACTTCGGCATACTGAAGTATTACTTGCACAAAAAAAAAAATAAATCTATCCTAAAATAACTATTACATCCTGCTTCTTCAAATCCAACAGAATAAAGGTATCTGATGATTACCACAGACCAAACAAAACACCAAGCTATTTTTTTGGTTGGAAGAGAAAATAAATTTTAAAAAATTTTTACCTTTTGAAAGAAGGTTGAAAAATCTTTTGTAACATTTCCTTTCGCAGCTTTATTTTTTAAGGCCATCTCCTCAATTGTGTCTTGAAGGAATTTAGCCAATTCAAGCTTTACTCTCAATTCTTTCTTCAGTCTTTCCTCCTGTTAAAAAATACTTAGTTTTAAAAGTTCTTTCCAGAAATATGCACACTAAATACCACTTCTGCCCTCAGACAAGTTATGTGGAGGACTTCTGAACTTCTGCTGTAACATACACATCACAAGAGGACATTCATTCCTACCAAAGAACCCCAAATCACATTGAAAAACAGGCTGATCAGCTCAAAGCTCCATAAAGCATGAGATGCAATGACAACAGAGTGAAGTGCAGCATTAGTGGCCTCCTCTGCTAAACCTAACATGCACCCTCAGAATTAATAACAAAAAAAAGATAAACTAACCAACTGGTTCGGGTAATTCCCAACTCTTGCATCCAGCACAGAAATCCTATGCTACATCTCATCCAAACAAAGAGGAATTTATGACAGAATTAGAAATGAATGGTTACTTAGATCCAAGTATACAAGCATGACTGATTATATCTGTGACTGACTGGGAGCTCACTATGTATGAATCTCATGTAAGTCTTTGGTGCTCTGAAAGTGAGAACTTGTGCGGCTTTTTGCTTTGTTCCTACAGAGCTCTAAACAATTCCGAGAAAACTTAACTAAAAGAAATAAAGTTTAAACAAAACAATGCATAAGAAGTTATTTTAAATATTAAGCATACATACAAAAAATTTGCATCAAAAGTAAGGACTACAAATGTTAAAACAAAGTCTGCCTACTAGAAAAATAAAGTTTCATAGCTTTCATTTCTGCTATGTCAGAGTCATGGAAAATGGAGATGATGATAGCTACACACTTGCACATATAAAAAGGTAAACCAGGATGGCACTGGCTCATTATTCTATGTTAACAGCAAGATCATTAAAACAACATAAAGAAGACAAAGGTGTTCCCTTAATACAAAAACCCCAAAATATCTAATTTTTAGACTTTTTCTAATTTCTTTCTTTACCAAAGAAAGCTCTAATTTTTTCAAAATGTATCACGGCATTATAAATTCAGACCTGCTTACCTTTTTAGACTTTGTCTCAAATGTAGAGGGAAGCATATTAGGGAACAACTTAAGAGCTACTGGAAGCAAAAATTCCATAAATGGGACAACAAGAAAAACTAGGAAAGGGACCAAGCGGAAAAGATCGGCACATATTCGAAGAAACTGGAAGGGGGGAAAAAAAAAAAGTATCGATAAGCAAAAGTTTAATTATTTATTTTTAAAATACTTGATATGATCATCCACATTATCACTTAAGCTCACATATACATACTTGCTACAAAGGAAATTTAAAATAACATACAAAGAGGATGTGACCAAGTCAGTTTTTAGTATCTTTTTCTTCAAGTTACTATATACTACAGAGTGCCAGAGTTTCACCAGTTTTCAACACCACAGAAAGTATTTCAAAAGCCTCACTGTGTCTCAATAGGATTATGGAACAAGTATCTCATTTAAACCTCTTAAAAGCACCTGAAAACAGGAGGTGGTCATTTGTTGTCGTTAAAGCTGCTTAACTTCTTTTATTCATCTTTATTTGTGCTCCACGACTTCTTACATGCATGAGCTACTACGGACTAAGTAATCAAGAATAAAATGAAAGATCCCTCCTCCTCTGCCTTATAACAATTGTAATGTACATTTAAATCCAGGGTAATGAGACCAGCTTGGTAGATTCTTTTTTTAAAATCACTGCTTTTCTAGAGCAGTAATCCTCTGAAGCAGGCCGATGCACTAGTTACCAAATCTTGAACTGCATAAAATAAATATTGTCCTTCTGATTTCTGTACACCCACAAATGCATATATTAGGCTGTACAGTCTATGATCAAATCTTTCAGTACTGGTTGGAAGCTTAATAACTTGGTTTGTACTGGGGAGCGCAGATCTTGCTTGACTCTACCTGATTTTACAAAACAAATAATTGGTTATTTGGAATACTGTCAGTTCCTAAATCATAGACTGAAGGTCAGACGTACACTACGGTACACTACCGCCACAGCACTGTCATTCAACATCATGATTTGATAAACACAGCTATGATTGGCAAAAACTGGCAACGTAAATGCTATTACAGAAGTAAACGCATGCTTCTCCCTTCATCCCGTCCCCACAGCTCATGCCAACCCAGGGAAACAGCAGCAACAACCAGTATAGATTGCATCACTAGATTGCTTCATTAGAATACAAAACCAGTAAAACTTCAATCATAATTTGCTTAGCATAAAACCAGCCAAAATCTTAAGTGCTGTTTGAGGAATGCACAAACTTCACAGATCCAAAGTTCTACATTTTTCTTCGTATATAAAAAATTCCATTTCCCAGAAGGGATGCTTTGGTCCATTGTTTACAGGCTAAAAGATTTTTCCATTCATTCCAACAACAGACGATAAATAACTACAAGGGAGTTCAAAAAGATGTAAGAATGTTTGGAAAAAAATTTTAAAAGTCAGAAGAACAAGTACATTTTCCCTAAAAAAACCCTCCAAAATTTCTAGACAGTGCAGTATAGAGTACCTATTTCTACCCAGTATCTATCTTCAGACAGTGTGTGCAAGTATTTGTACGAGGCAAAATTCGTATCTAAGGAAGCAGTTCTACAACTGGATTAAGCTAACCTGATGCTAACCTGAGACAATGTATAAAGAGTCATGACCATGCACTAGCAGTCACAATGTGAAGGTACACCACTGATCCAGCTAAAACCAACCTATAAATACATACACAGACAAGTGAGAAAGGATCAGTACAAACCAAAAGGGCGGGAGGTGGGGGAGAGGTGTTGGAAAACTTAATTTAAGCACCAAGCAGGACTGGCCTTTTTTTGCAGCACCACTGTCCTGGATCAGCTTACATAAATCATGAAACTGCACCCTCGGCTAACTCAAAGAAAACAACTTTGCACAGGAACCTAATACAATGGCGTGTGATTACACACACATTATTTGGCAGCGCAGCATGAAAAACTTGTGACTACTCTGTATCTGCTGCTACGGTTCATGTATTCCACTTTTCCCTCTGCAGGGCTGCAGCGTTTGTAAAGCTGATATACTTGCCGCAAACTCCATAGTGTTTGCCATTTCACTTTCATGTCCTGAACCATCCTGCTGTAGGAGGCAGCACTACAGCAATCAGCTTTTAACAGCCAGTATCATATTTTGCACGTTTTACTTCTTCCTGCCTTCTCTCCTAAGCATAGATATGTGATCCCACTGAATCCAAACCCTACTAGCAACCGTACAAGCAGAATTTTGGAGCCAACTTTTGGTTTACATAAGCAACAGCTCTCTTGCATTAGCCATGCTGCAATTCCTTGTTAATGTGGTTAAGATTATTCGGATATCTTTTCATTATTGCCTCCAAAGAGGAAGGAAAGGGCAGGCAGAAACAACTCATTTGTCAGTCTGTGTGAAGGTAAGATTTCTCTAGGACCGTCAGTTCATATGCAGTTTAATACATTTAAAGCAGTACATACTTCAATTTTATTTTTTTTAAATTCAGGAGCAACTTTTGCAAACTTGTAGCTAATCAGGCATCAAAGTTTTAAGACTTCTTTAAATCAGTCAGTGTACTACAATTTAAGGCTGAAATGATAAAAAATGAACTGTGTTGAAACAAACTTAAAATAAGGTTTAAAAAAAGCACACGTAAAGGGTTTTGTTCAGCTATAGGCTGGTTTGCTTTTCACTGACCCTGGGTTCTAAGCCTACCATGACTTCATTCAAGAGACAGGACATCCTCTACCTCCATATAAAGAAAACACAAAACCTAGATTAAGTAACATTACTGTAGTTCTTAAAACTATTTTCTCTACATCTTCTACGCTGGATCACACACATACAGACAAACACACATCATTAGATAAGAGACAGGCTACATCAATGTAAACGCTAATTTATACCTGCACAATAAATTTCTGTTTTATTTAAAATAAGAGAACTGATACTGAAATCACACATCTGCACAGAAAAAAAATAAAAAATTCAGGAAGGCCAAATGCCAGACCACTATGTAAATATGAAAAAGACAGCTCTGTCATCACCAGATGGTGAAACTAAAGGTCAATCAAATGAATAAATCCATCTATTGATAGAATAATGCACGTGTGTCGAAAGATAACATATTACTTCTAAAGGTTCATGCCTTCTAGAATACAGTGCTGATCTTTCAGCAGAAATATTTCCATGATATTCATTCTACTGTTGTTTGTATAATTTCTCAGAAGTATGGCTCAGTGAACATGAAACAGGCAGGAAAATCAACGGTTCCAATCTTGCCCTCTGGAGGATTTCTGATTCTGTTTTAAACCATGAATTAATTTGTCTCACTTGGTTTTCCAAGTTTCCCAAAGCTCTCAATAAGCCAGCACAAGCCAGAACTGCTACTCCAAGAGGTCTCGTGGTCCTCATTCCCCCCCTATCCTCAGTTACTCTTTCTTGGCACAACATAATCCCCTCTCTTATGTCAGCACAGACTGTTACATTTATTGCTGAGTAACGTTTCAGCTGCTTCAGCTGCCAAGCATACTCTTACACCAGCATAAGGAAGAGAGCAAAAATAAGCAGCATGAAGATGTTGAGACAAAATACCATCAACTAGTGCTGTTGTAGAAAGAGACCAAATGCAATCACAGATGAAAACTGCTACATGTGCATTTCACAGTCTTCGTTATTTGTCTAACTTTGCAAATAGAGGAAAAAAAACTTTTGCATACTGCATTAAGATGCGATTTTTTTTTTAATTACACATGAAAATGTTCAACTATGTACCTAATTTTATCATGAAATTATTAAAACAATAAGTAAATAGTCATATTTTTGATTATTTAACAAATTTTTGAAGGCAGAGATGTGAACCTAAGACATTGCCTGTACAGTGTACAAACTGCGGAGAATCAGACCATGATGGGAAGCAGCACTATTCACTCCTGCTGCCACAGTACATACACTTTTCACTCTCCAACATTTCTTCTAGCATGTTTTTTTTCAGCAACAGCTGAAATGTCTTTTTTTTTTTAAAAAAAAAAAGACAGAAAGACAGACTTGAATATTTTCTCTGTATAAACTGCTTAAACATCTTGTCTTTAAAGACAGTAAAATGAAAACTATTAAATCAGCATGTTTGACATAATGTTAATGAACTGGTGGTGTTGAATACCAACGCATTCTTTCAAAAAAAAATTTTTTTTACCAGTTTTAAAACAGCTTATTATTTTGCAGTGTTTCCATATACAAAAGCTCATATAAAATGTTTTTAACTATCCATATATCTTTTAATTCTAGTTGAATAAGCATATTTACTTCATCCACAAACTGAAATTACTATTGAAATCCATGTATGTTATCCTAATTTGAAAGCACTTTCATTTTGCACTCCAGATTTCATCTCCATCCCCTCTTCCCTTTTCTTTAAAATAATCAGCATTCTTAAATTGCATTCTTACAGTTTCATAAATGTAAGCTATGTGCCATAAAGAAAAACAAAAGTATGAAATGAAAACTTTTCTCAAATTATCTTCCTCGGACTAAAATCATCTCACAAATATATTTATAACTGAGATAGTACTAATACCTGATTATCAATCACGCATTTCAGCCTCCAGCTCTTCTTTCATTTAAAAACAAAAAAAACCCCACAATAGAATTGGCACAAATTCAACCTTTACTAGAAGTGTTTTCCCCTCTATTTTTCCAGCTGGAGTGAAAAAGCAGAGCAAGTGACCATGTACACACATGTAGCACATGGATGGGAACTTGAGAACAAACCACAACTGCTGTCCACATGACAAACAGAAGAATCCTCTGCTGTTCCAACTAGAAAATATCAAATTTATCTTCAACAATGAGGAACAAGACTAAAATGTTTTGGAGTCATACCCTAAATTTTTAGTGTCCACATAGAGAGGCGGGAAATACACCCAGCAATTTTAATTCTAGGACCAGAGGACAACAGAAAGAACCAACTCAGTTCAAATAAAACGGAGCAAGCGCTACGGATACTCCAACAAAATTGTTATTTAGTCGGTACCTGTCTCCGTTCTCGACGAGACAAAGTGTTTCCATGAAGTATTCGCCAGAGCATCCTTGCAGCTATCTTTGTGTCAATCCACAGTAATCGAAAACCATGGTAATAGTGTTTCAGTTCATCCACAATCCTCTGTCCAATAGATTTTTTCACAACTTCCACTTCTGTTGGACTATATACAGGACCTCCTTCTTCCAACTTCTTGTTTTTGTCCTTTAAGGACTTCAATGACTTTTCAACTATGGAGTCATCTCGAAGGGGACATGAAGAATGCCACCATCTAACTGGAAAACACTGGGGACCTAAAACACCCATGGCTGCTAGTGGTGTCCGTGAGCCAGAAGAGCTCAGAAGAGTATAGTATATTTGTTCAGATCCTTTAGTCCAACAACAGTAGTGATCTTTTTTGGAGTATGCGTAAACAGGAGAGACGCTAGTGCAATATTTGAAGTGTACAGTCCTTCAAAAGAAAAAAGTATTCAACAATTAGCAATAGATCATAAGCTATTTATATATTTATATAAAATTATGTATTTATAAAATGCATCATTTGAGAAATATCTATCGCATATTTAAGAAAAAAAAACAAACTTGTGACTCTCAAGATCAATGTCTATACCTGAAAAGAACACTTAGCTTTACTTCATGACAAAAAAAAAGCAAGCTGCAGGGAATTTTCCATTAAACAACTTTGAAAAGGTAGCTTATTTTACTCCAATCAAATAAAGAGTAGCAACCAGAAGTGTTTTCCATTTAGAAAGCTACATTTGAAAATAAATCTGTAAATCATAAGTAACACAAAGCTTCTTCTATTGCTTCTCTTGTTTGAATGAAACACTCCAGAAAGAAATAGAAGTTGTAGACTTGGGATAGGTGCTGAGTTAGAAGAAGAGAATTACTATCAGAGAAATCCAATTACATTAGAGTTCCTCTTTTACTCTCTCCATGCATCCAGTTTTTCAGCAGAAATGTTTGCACAAAATTCCATCCTGGTACTGAGCTGGGGCACACAGAACCAACACTCTTTTCCCTTATTCAGAATTTTGTTCTTTTCTTTAACTAAACATAAACTGAAGTTAGCAGGGAAGCATTACTCAAACACCCCAAACACTCATTGTACACACAGAACCACGCATTATATGCAAGTAGGATTGTACACACTTTTATAAAAGCATATGACACACTTAAAATAGTAAATAAAATATTTTATATAAATGAGTTCCATTAGGTGTCACTCAAACTGAAATGCCAGCATTAAGTTGTCTACAGGACAGAAATGACTGGGTTGTTTCTTCACAGAGTCCTCATGCTACCAAAACAAAATCAGAATGTGTATTTCTCTTCAGCCAATGAACAGAAAACAGGTGCAATTGGCTTTAATAGCTCTGACTAACACTTCAAGGAAAAAAGAAGCTTATTGAACACTTATAAGTATTAGCCTCACTCACTCAATTTCCAGCCAGAAGTACATTTTAAATTTAATTATCATATGTATCCAACAAACTTTAAATTACTTTAATGGTTTTATCTATTCAATTTGATTCAAATAGAGCTTTGTACAAAAAATTATCACTTTTTAAAGACATATTATTATTTTCTAGCTTAAACTAAAATTTTAAGCATCTGACCATTCAATGGTCAGATGACCACTGAAACATACACAGCTACACAAAACATCTTCTTGATTAGCTAGAAAACTACATACTTCCACAGATATTAACTAATGAGAATTATGGTTCCTTTAAGAAAATAAAGTACATATTCAAAACCAGATTAAAACACTTGCATAAATAATCCATCCTAACTCTAAGTCATTTCCCAAAAGCAGCGCTCCAGGCCTACAGACCAAGTTCCACCTATATACATCTACATTCTTCCACATGCAGAGAGGAAGGGAGCTCTGCCAATAGAACTGGTTCGGAGTCTGCAGGGAAAAAAAAATTCCTAAGAAATGTGCTTCTCTGAACACACTTTCACTAGCAGGATGTTAGACACAGAATTTCTATCCCTGTCCTCAGTACTTTTATCATTAGAGTCCTCTGCTTCTGGATCTGGGTCATGAGGGGTGTGGACACTAGTTTGTTTTATTTTAAGCAGAATATTACATTAGCAGCAGCTTTTGGTAAAAAAAAATTCTCAGAAAAATAGTAAGAATTTCTGTCCCAATATTCCACTGCTCCTATAACAGACTTAGAACTGTAGTTTCCAATTTTCCAAGAGAGGTCACATATAATAATCTACTAAAAAGTAAACAGAGATTTGAAAATGCTTTATATATTAAAAAAACCTCTCATAATTAGTTACCCAGCAAGTGATATAGAACTAACATGACTAAAAAAAGAATTACTTTGTTTCATATTAGAAGGGTATGTCTAGAGACACATCCTTATGTTAAAATGGAAACATAGGAAACTGAAGAATAGTCACTATCTCCTGAGCAGCTAGACTGTAAATAAACTAGAGAATACATATTTTAACATTCCAAGGAAAGGTGTAAGGAAATTCATATCCATAACTGTATCTTGTGAGCCAAGTCAGGAACAGAGAATCGATTCCGCCAACATCTAACTCCCTAAGTTCCATGAGAGCACATAGTGGCTGAATTTGTTGTCAGAACAGGACCCCATCTCCTAGGAGAACCTCACCCAAGGCTGTAACATACAGTAAACTATTTTGGTTTAATAAAGGTACAACTCAAATAATCTACATTCCTAACTGTAAACTATATTTTTCAAACTAGCTGTGACTGAATGTTTACCCTATGGAACTCCACAGAGAAAGTATGCAAGAAGTCCATGATATCTCATTATGTCACCTGGAATCACTCAAGAACAAGATTAATATTCACTGTAGAATCACCATAGAATGGTTTGGTTGGAAGGGACCTTAAAGACCATGCAGTTCCAACCCCCCTGCCATGGGTAGGGACACCTTCCACCAGACCAGGTTGCTCAAAGCCCCATCCAACCTGGCCTTGAACACTTCCAGCAATGGGGCATCCACAACTTCTCTGGGCAACCTGGTCCAGTGCCTCACCACTTTCATGGTGAAAAATTCCTTCCTTATATCTAATCTAAATCT